AAGAGTGATGGGTTGTTAGTTCCAAGATTAAGTTACAATGAGACTGTGGCTTTTGTCTTGCTTGCCCTTTCTCGCTCTCTCTCTCTCTCAGCTCACTTGCTCTGAGGGAAACCAGCTGCCATGTTTGAGCTACTTAGTGGAGAGACCCACGTGGGAAAAACTGATGTCTCCAACCAATAGCCAGCAAGGGCCTGAGACCACAGTCACATAAGTAAGCTTAGAAGGGGGTCCTCCCCCCACCCAGACTTGAGATGACTACCGCCCAGGTCTAAACCTTGATCACAACCTTATGAGACACAGTGAGCCCAAGCACTGAGCTAAGCTGCACCAAGACTTCCAACTCACAGGAACTATAATATAATAAATGTTTTCTGTTTTGAGCTGCTATATTTTGGGGTAATTTGTCATGCTGCAATAGATAACTAATAGAATGGAATTAACCCCAGATAGATTAATAATAAAATACTTATCCTCTGCCTCTTTGTTATGTTTCCCATGACAACTCTCAATTTATAAAAAGTACTTTATAGGACATTAAAAATGCACTGTCAATTTTTTCAAGTGCACAGCATAATTCTCTTAAGTTGATACAATACTGTATTTGAGTAGCAAGATTCTTTAAGGGACTGACAGTTGAAATTCCATTCTAGTATAGGCTACTATTCAACAAATACACTGTGCACCTGCTATGTTCCAGGCACAGGAAGATAAATAGGACAGGATAGCCTGTTTCAAAGAGCTCAAGTCCATTCAGGACAGTAGAAAAGCCCAAAAGATTTGGAAACAGATGAATTAAGAGGAGTACCACAACTCATTGTTTGTGCGACAATGATCAAGCCATTTAATTTTCCAGTGCTTTTTTTCCTCATCTACAAAATGGGGAGTAACAATAATAACAGCTGATTTATCAACTTACAAGATTGCTAAAAGGGCCACAAAGTAAAATGTGTATAAAAGCATTGTAAAATTCTAAAATAAAATACAGCTATCATTATTGCAATGCTTATTATCAAACTATAGTATACAGGCTGAACTATAGAAATAGCTAAGAATGATTCATAATTAATTTTCTGTTTATTGGCAAGTGACATTTCTTTTCTATTAACCATTTAAATATGTCCTTAAATTTGAAATTTGCACTCCAAAGGTTGTTTAGTCTTTATTTTGTTCAAAATGATGCAATCTAAATTACTCCTCTTCTGAACCTAAACCTCTCAAATTTCATTTTAATTTATTTTCTGTGAGAAAATAGTTATTGTAATGGTTTCAAGAAAAACTGAATGAAAACTACAAAGAACATGAAAAAACTAATCATTTTGGTCAATTAAAAACTGTTGTAAGCAAAAAAGTTTCTGTCCTATAAAAAATAATTTTCTTTGATGTTAAATTTAAACAATGTTTAGAGCTACCACTTAGAATCAATTAAATGTTCTCATTACCTCTATTGCCTTTCTTCACTAACTTCCTCTAATATACTTTGTGATATATTAGATCAACATTTTAAAGTGAAAAACACTTTATTTTTCATATTTTCAATATGCCACTATACTTCAATTCATTATTCTAATCCAAATAGCCAGTCCATTAATAAAAATGTATAGGCAAGAATAATTGATTCCATTTTAGGGAAAGATATCAACAATAAACTGCTTTGGACTGAGCAATCAATGGTTATTGAATTCTAGACTCCAAGCTAATATTTCCAGCTACACAGGTCCTTGAGACTTGAGCTGCCCACTTTGCTTTTAATGAACAAGGTCAAAATCATGAACTGAAAATACTATGACACTAATAGAATACCTCGGAAAAATTTTAGCCTCGAGGCATCATAAACTGTCAAGTATCTTTCTAGTAGGCCTAAATATTAATATATACATCAAAGTTGAAGATAGATATGTCCCTTGGAATCCACTATTCTAGTTGTCTACAGTTTGGTGTGAAATAAAATAAAATTAAACATTTATTAAGCTCTAACTATGGGCTAGCCTAAGTGTAGAGGGAATACAAAGATGAAGTACGAAGTGGATGAAGTAGATAAAATATAACTGAAAAACTCAGAGAAGCTCGAATGAGAAATGATTTTGAGCTTCCTATTTTGGACAGCTTTTTAGAGGACAATGCCTTTAAAAGAGAGAAGGAAAGTAGATCAAGCCTGTTTGGAGTGGGAGATAAGGTACTGACTTCAGTTTAGGAAACGCTGAAATCTGAGATGATAGAACATCCAGATGAGAGTCCACAATATGGATCTAGTGTTCATTCATGAGATCTAAACTACAAAGAAGAAGGAGGCAAAGGTTTCCCCAGAAGAGTTTACAGATGGAGAAGGCAAAAAGCCAGGACTGAACTCTGGGGCATTCAAGAGTACAAGGGGGAGAAGTAGAAGGTGATCAAAGAAAGGGAAGAAGAACCAGGAAGAAAATGGGTCATAGAAGCCAAGCAAGGAAAGACTCAAAAACCAAAATGACGACCAATGTTACAGAAAGATTAACAATATTAACACCATTTTAAAGACCACTACATCATGATGTACTATATGTTGGCTAACCGAACATAATTTAAAAAACAATAAAATTTTAAAAATTTTTAAAAAGACCACTAAATCTACATTCAGGAAATCACTGGTGATCTTAACTGTATCACTTTTAGTGGAGTTTCTGGTGTGGAATCTGGAGGACCACGAGGCATTGTTCTATCAGTCTAATATTAACTGAACACCTTCTTTGTACTTTGGGATGGGAAAGTACAGGCTGTATATATAGAACTCTTTATAAAAGATACTTGGGAGGGGATGGGGGGAGCAGAGGACTCGGAAATAGTCTATATCTTCAGTTGAGAGTGTGTTTAGGAGGGGAAGAACGGGTTTGGAGTTCAGAAGACAGGTACAATTTGGGAGTAACTGCTCAGGGAAAGGGAAAGAGAGCAACTAGAGATAAAAGCAAAGACTGATGACTAGTGTCGAAAGCCCAGCTGAGGCTGGAACTCCTCAGTTTGTAATATCACCAACCTCCACGGTTGTATTGTCTTTTTCTTCCAGGAATGTCAGTAGCCTAGGAGCAGAGTAAAGAACACAGATGGTTTGGTGGCACTAAAGGCCAAGTACTGGCAGGCACGTGAGGCAGAAGTCCAGGAGAGACAAGCACTTGAGGGGCCTGGAGATTAAGCAGAGAAGTGGACGCTTCATGAAAGAATGAGAAGTCAGCAACATTCTGACAAGTGGAAAGGACAGGCAGGAACTGAAGGCCATGGTGAGCTTAACATTCAGATTTGATGGTGACGGAGAGGTTGGAAAATGGGATTTTATGAGATTTCTGAGAAGAAAAAGATACAAAAATAGAGAAAACCTGCTAAAATAAAAAATTACCAAATGTCTTAATGGAGCAAGAGAATGGATTCTACATTTTGAAAAATGATACATACCACTATTTTTCTCTATACAACTTAAAACTTATACTTTGCTCTTAACATTACATAATTCCAGGTAGTATCAGGTCATTTCTGAAGCTTGAGATTACATTTCAAATCAAGAGACCCCTGTCAGGTTAATAAAGTATTGCCATTTCTAATTATTTGGGAAACTTGCAACTTTAAAAAGAAAAAAAAATTAAAATTAAAAAAAAAAAACAGAGACTTTCCAAATGAAAAGAATAAATAGTTAATCATCTGAGACAATTACAAAAATCCAAGTAAGACACTTTGAAAGTGAAGTCCAAACTGGATAATATAAACGACATAACCTGCACTAAGAGTTCCTTGATCACTGTTGTCAAGAATCAGAATAATATTCACTCTTAAAATTTATACTTTATAGTAAATAATTTCACTCTACTTGAGAAATATTTCCCATCAGCCAATTATTTTATTTGGCAAGGGGGATATGATTCATGTGTGACTTGGTAATAGAGAACATAAATAAAACTAATTCCTATATCCTTTTCCAATTTTCATGAATTCAAGGATTTATTTGGAACCTCTAAGAGAACTCTTACTTTTTATGACAGATTTATGCCTATATTCACATTGTTGTTCATATAGCTTCACTGGTTTTGTGCAGTTTAACTTCTAATAATTTGAGTTTTAGGTTATCACAGACACAACATGCATTCACATTCAGATATTCAGATGGCCAGATACTCACATTCCTCCTGCTCTACTTCTATGCTGTTGAAGGACAGTGAACAAGGCTTAATCCAGGTGCCCACCCTAGACTGGATTTGTTTGCTCATCTTGGTGATAATACATTTTCTTCCAATCTAAATATGCTGTGAATATACATTAGTTCCTAATTTCAAATTTAGTGGGGAAACACACATACACATGCCACAAAGTTATACCAGAATGTAAAGCAAACTGTCCTGTTCAAAGTGCAACTGAGTTCAAAATAACTGAATGAAGAGAATGGAGAAGAAAATTTATTTCATTACAAAAATGGTTAGTCATAACAGCAGTGGATTTTGCTGCTTTTTCTACCTTTGGAGACAGGGAATTATATCCAAGATGACTCAGGAGTTCAACAACCTGTCAGGGGGGCCGAGGTTCCCATCCTGACAGCACCCTTGAATGGCAGAATGAGGGAGGAAGGCACACAGCACTACAGTTGGGAGAGATGATGCACTTATAGCTCTCAGCATATAGTATGTGTTTTTATTTTTTATATAGAAAAGCAATTTATTCCATCATAAGCACTTACACAGTTAGTCATGGAGAGTAACAGGCCTGCTGGTGAAACAGGTCACCCAAAATAGAGATGGTACCAAACTAGTGGTCAAAGACTAACTCCTAAAAAAGAAGAAGAAGAAGAAGAAGAAGTAATTCTTATCCAGGATTAACTTAATTTTAAAAACAAATACAAGCTATCAATTCACTCTTCTCAACTCAACTGAACAGTCTACTTGTGGTATAACTGTCAGGTAAAAACATACATCTTCACAACTTGGTGGTCCCAAGTTTTTTAAAAAACCATTTCACAGAAAGGAAAGCAATATGAAAACAGCTCAAAAAATACACTAACAAACAAAAATATATGGGGGAAAGAGGAACACATAGTTTTTTTGACTTAACTGAAGAAACTGAAAGGAGACTGGTCTACATAGGAAAATGTGCATCCTGGAAAGTCAGGTGTGAAAATTTTAGAATAGGAATTTATATGACTTGAATCTCCCCCATTTCCTGAATAAAAACGACATCTTGTGGTATTTATACTTCATGGCTCAGACACCTACCTCACTTGGCTCTACTCCTTCCTTACTTTAGCCTTTACTTAAAGGAGTCTGAAAATCTTGGGGATATAGCCTAAGAAGAAAAATAACCACACATAATATTCCACTTTTTGTGGCTACTTTAGATCTTTGTTACTAGAAAATTCCTAAAGAAAATTTAAATATAAGTCTGTGGCTTTACTGAATCAAGTCCTCCAGTTAATATTTAGAAAACACCCTCTGTTTGGGCTAATAACATTGTTGATGGTACCTATCATAGAGGGATAGCCAAACAAAGTCTGTGTCTCAAAACCAGTGTTAAATCAATCTCAGGGTTGAGAGGAAAAAAAAGGGGGAGTCTAAAATCACAAGAAGTGCAGACATATCTAGGACCCTTGTCCTTCTGGATCCACGCTTCCTTCAGGATCTTCATCATTATAAATATTCTCTGCCATTTGCCCCACTTGCATGATATTGTCTTCTGATACAGAACAAATCACCCAAGGTTCATTGGGATACCAGGAGAAATCAGATATCTTGGCAGTGTGACCACCACAAATAAACAATTCTGGTGGCCCATATTCTGCATCTTCTGGGGATTGTTCCTCTCCAATTTTACTTAGATCCCAGACATTCAGTCTGCGATCAGTACCACTGGAAGCCAAAATAGTCTCACTGTGGGGCGACCACTGAACCTGGAATATTTCATCCTTATGTGATTCAAAGGAATGCAACTTAAGTTTCAGATTTCTCAGATCCCACAAGGCAACAGTCTTGTCGGCTGATCCTGTGGCCAGAATGAACTCACTGTAACGAGTGAAAGATAGGCAGTTCACTTTAGCAGTGTGAGCAACAACTGAGTGGATTGGTTTGGAAGTATTGTTTGAATGAGTATCCCAGATCATAAGTTTCTGATCATCAGCAACTGACCCAAACAGAGACTCATGGAGCAAATGCCAGGAAACATCTTCTACTATGACTGTATGTCCTGTAAAGATGGTCTTCACATCCACCACTTTTCCTTCCTTTGGAACAGTGCTGATGTCCCAGAGGCAGATGGTATGGTCGTCTGAAGCACTAAGTAAGTGCCCACTGAGATTTGGGTTCCAAGAAAGTCCATAGCCTTCCTTCTGATGTCCACACAGACGCAAGTCGGGGTTGCACTCTCCAGAAGGGTCTGGTTTGGAAGGATGTTTTGTAGAGTCAAAAAGAACATCACTGGATGGAGTCTTTGTTGCAATGATGCAAGGGATCTGGGGCATATAATGCGCCCAGCTTACTTCTCCTTCATGGTTGATCTTGATTTCTATTTCAATTTTTCCACCAACTGAGCCAAACCCTCCAAATTCTCCTTTCTCACTGTTGTAGTGTGAAGCATCAAACTGAGCATCATCATTAGGGAGCTGCACATTGGCTATCACAGGACGGTTTTGTTCATCTGACGTGTGTGTTCCCAGGACAAGTCGATGAATGCTGAAGTCTTTCCCTTCCGCTCTGGTTACATCTGCAAGCCACTGTGCAGTTAGGCTAGGCCACTCCAGAGCATGGGTCATCACCAAATCAAAAAGAAAAGGGGTGTTCTTTTTCCATATTTTGTACTCTTTGTTGATCACATGTGTTCTACTGTGTCACCAAAGGCTGCTTCCTTGTTGGCCATGGCGGGCAGGCAAGCCGGGGGAATCCCGGGGTCGAGCATTGCGGGAGGGGTGGGGAGGCTATGGGCGCTCGCTCTGCATGCGCAGCCTCTATTGTTTCCTGCTCCAGCATATAGTATGTGTTTATTGAATATTTGGTAATAAGATCTAACAGCTCAGATAAATGTATGACACTGGGAAATTTAATTAAGTTCATTCGGCCCCAGTTTTATGGAAAATAAGGATGATAATATCTGTCTCACAGAGTTGTGAGAATTAAACGAGCTAATGCATGTAAAGTACTTAGCACAGATCCCAGCATGCACTAAACTCAGAAGACTGCACATTAACAAGTGTGTTGAAAAAAACAAGGTAGGTTTTTTATTATATAATTATAAAATACATAAAATATAAACACTTCCTTTCCACTTCTGTTTTCTTTGCATTTAGATTATCTAAAAAAATCTGTTGTTAGAACTGTGTTCTCTTATGCTACTGGGGTAGCGGAAGGGAGAGGGACAGTATCAGAATTATAGATATGGCCAACTCAAGTTCTTATAGCCAAAGAGTACTGTTTGCTAAACCTCCTACTTATTTCAGATACATGAATAATGACTATAAAGTAATGAGGTAGGTTTCTGTGGGTGGCTCACGAGAATCAGTCTCCACAGATTTTTAAGCAAGAAACATCTATGGATGGCCCAGAGTGTACCCAGGCAGGCAGCCAGGCACTGTCCCAGGTGCTGGAATATGAAGATGCCTATGTGGCACCAACAGGAGAGACAGGCTTAACCAGTTGAGCCACCCAGGTGCTCCTGGGATTTTTAAGAATGAAAGAGTCATTTCATTCAAGAGTCCCTATAAATCATGAAAATTTGGTACTGATAGATAAGACCAGCCATAAACAACAGTTCTCAGGTGCTGGGAATTCCCCAACTCTACGTCAATAATGAAAGGCCACTGTAAATCCATAAAGTGGACATTTATAACCAACTGCTGAACACCTGTATTTCTCACCCGAAATTTTGACAGCTTCTCCCTTAAAAAGTGATCATGACTCCAGGCAGGATGACATGTACTGAGAAAAGTATTTTCAAAGTATAAGTTTGTGTTTATGCCTTCAAAGTACTTGCAGGAATGAATTTTTCCATGTGCTGATCACAGTTTACAAACACAAGTGTTAACCCAACTGTAATTGCTCATAAAATTCTCCACTGCAGCTCTTTTGTTAACCTACATCCAATTTTTAGGATCAGCAAGATGGCCACTGTTGGCTTCACATTCTATACTGGTTACATTTGACATGTGCCTACTTTTATTTCAAAAATGGGGCTTCACAAATCAAATGTTATTTCCCGCACCTGCAAATTCATGAATCACATACCAACACCAGCAGAAGAGCAACATGAAAACTAAGACTAACTCAGCAGGACTCAGAAGCACCTGTTTTCACAAAACGCAAACCACTGCACTGAAATTAGGCATACATTTTAAAAGTTTATTAGTTAGATGCATCTCCTGCATCTAAGATTTTTAAGATTTTTAATCTCACACTGAATTTATTTCTAAATATAAAAAAATAATACTCTGAATCATATTTAACAAACAGTAACTGATCTAGAAAATAGCTTCACATCCCAACAACCAATGTAAAATTTCCCTGGTTATCTATTGCTAGTAAAATAATAAACAACAGAAATGTAAGAGGTCCAATTATCCATAAAGCACAGAGAATGGTGATGCTGGGGGCTATAACCTGAAAGACCATGTACAACTTTGTTCACTCTCTGGAAAAGAATTTCTTTGACATATAATACTTCCCCCCAAATGCACAAGCCATTGACAGTCTCTATAATGTAGTGATTTTCAAAGTATATTTTTGTCCTACAGAAAATGAACAAAAAGCCACAGAACAATCATACATTTTAGTATCGTCTGATTACATGGCAAGCACATTTTTAGCTTAAAAGCTATGCTCAATGACTATTTAGAATCCAAGTGTAAAGAAGACCATGACACATTTTACTAATCTACAGATAAAATAAACCATTTTCTCATTCCTCCAAAATACCACTGCCATTCAAGCAGCCCATGGCAGTATTTGACTAAGAGACCTATATATGAATGGCAACTGCATCTCTATCTTTTTCAGCAAAATAAAAGCTTTTTCCAATAACTATGCCTCTTTTGGCCACAGCCACATTTTACCTGTTAGTGAAATATTGCAAAGACTTTGATGGTCAGGTCTGGCTTGGAACCTACATTTTCCTAAAAAGAAATGCATTTGGAATTCCAAATAACTGATTTTGCAAATGAACTTTCAGGGAACAGCCCATTCAGAAGATGTCAATACACATATTATATTAAAAAGAGTAAGTACATTTCTAACTCCAGAGGGTTTTATGCCCTAGCCTTCTATCTGGATCACCACACAGTCGCTCTGTCTCTTCAGTCAGGGTCAGCTCAAACATCTAGTATTCAACGAAGGATCACTTTAGCTAAAACACTCACCCCTCTCACCACCATCCATACTTTCTTCTGTAACTTTGATTTGATTTTCTTCATTGCACTTAGCACTATTTTTTATTTTCTATTTCCCTGTTAGATTCCTGGTTACAATAGGGCAAAGATCATCTTTGTCTTCTGTACCACTCTATCTCCAGCATCTAAAATGATGCCTGACACGTGATGGGTATTATCAAGTATTTGCTGAATGAATAAAAGCTGTGAAATGCTTACTCTAATCTGCCTAAACTGGACAGGGTACAAAAGTAAAGAAGAAAATTTGAGCATTATATGGTATCCTAGGTTTTAAATATTACTAATTATGAATAATTTACTTAGCCATAACCTCATATTTTGGAGTTGGTTCACAGTTTCTAGAACAGAGATCTTTAAAGGTTTAGAATATTAACTGAAATTCAACTCAATTTCTACATATCTATAGGCTTAATTGCTAATATTTAATTTAAATCCACACATTCAAAAAACTCAGTTCTATGGTTCAATGTTTCAGAAAAGTTTTTGGCTCTAAACTTACATAATAGTTGAGATACTAGAGTAGAACTCTAATATTTCAAATAAAAAAAGCATATAATCAATTCTAATATATATTCTAAAATACCACTGGGAATATTTCCCTCTGGCATCATGGTGAATCATTCTGTATTCCACTTTTTATCTGACTTTTTTTTTTTTCCCGGAGTTGGTACTTAAATACTTGCTTGACTGAGCTAATGCATAGACTTCTCATAGTAGAGAAAAAACCACTGATTGCCCATTTGGGAGCTCTTAAACAACAACAAAACTCTACACATACTCATTTTGAGCACCTATCTTTCTATATTAAAAAAAATTAATGATGTTTAAAAGTAAGATTGAGGAGTTATGCAACCATCACCAGTCTACTTTTCAGAACACTTTCATCATCCCATAAAGAAACCTTGTGCCTATTTGCATCAATACATGGTCTGTAGATTCTAGCTTTTTTTCATTTAGTCTATTTTTGAGGTTCTTCCATGTTGTGGCATATCCTAGTCTCTTATCTTTCTAAACTCATTTTGAAGTAGTGTTATCTGAATGTACACTAATAAAAATCCACCTTTTGAATCCTAACACTTATTTTGAGTTTCATTTCCCTTTGCATGATCACCTTTCATTTAATCTTTTATATCGTCATTATAAGAAATTAATCAAATGCGCAATCCATCCAGTACTCGTTACAAATTCCCTAAGGTATCCTCTATCTGTTGAAACTCTCTTACATCATCAGAACTGTATGTTTAATCAGTTTTCCTGGTTTGGCCCCAAGAATAGTCAGCATAAAGTTGAGTCAAAAGACCCCTCTTTCCTAGTCCCCTGATTCACCCATCAAATCTACATAAACATCTTCCAAGTCTCTTGAGCCCTATCCCCTCTCCATACCCCCAACTTCCACATTTCAAGCTACCTCCTACGAATTGTCCTTGGACATCTTCTTGGCAACTCAAACTCAGTAAGTCGAATATATTCCTTCTATTCATACCTATGTTTTCCCACAACTGCTCTATCTGCCCTTTTATTTATGTCTCTCCCTCTACTCCCTTTTATACACTAATACCACACTAATCTTCCTAAAGTACAGCTCTTTCCTGGTTATACCTCCACCAAAAAACATACAATATTGCCCCAGTGCCTACACAATGAATTTAAGCTTCTTAGCCTGCCATCCATAACTATCCAACATGCTTTATTTAATATCTTTAGGAATAAGGTTTTCTTCCACTAACATTTACTAAGTGCTCACTATGTGTCAAGCACTAAGTGCTGTATTATGTCTTTTAATTCACAATAACCCTAAGAGGTGGGTAGTTATTGACTCAATTTCACAGATGAGGAAACTCAGGCACAGACAGATTTACTTGTCAAGGTCACGTATCTATTAAGAGAGAGAGCCAGGATTCCAACTTAGGCATTCTCATCCAGGTCCCACATCCTTAACCAGCAGGATACAGCTGTCTCTATAGAAACAGAGATATCACCTTAGAGTAAAGAAAAGGTGTTATTTTGGATCTCACAAATAACTATATAAGGGCTGTGTGTGTGCATGTGCACACGTGTGTACACACACAGACACACACGCATGCATGCACACACCTGTAACTTTTGGGGGGGGTCTCACTGTCCTGTGCTTGATATTCTAGAGCACTTTGCTTCAGGGCACATGCTGATAAGGAAGAACCGTCCTGTATATATCCAAATCCTCTTATGCAGCTGTAGATACCGGTGGAAGAACTCTGGTGAGATGTGGATGGGGAAGTTGTGTGAATCTCTAAAACAAGATTAAATTCGGAACTAAAAGCGAGGGCAGAAAGTGTCAAATACACAGTGGTTATACTGCTAAGGAATCTGCTCACATTTGCCCACAGGCTCTTTCCTTCCTCCACCTGCCTGGGCTGTTCCCTGCATGAGAGAACAGCTCTCCTGACTACACCTGTCATTGATTCCTCTACCAGGGTTTTTAGCACTAGACACTGGTGTGTCA